GTCTCGGTGACCCAAGCATTACTATGGTCCCTGTTGCAACAGGGGTTGCTGGCCTGGCAACCATCTCCCAAGTGCAAAAATGCAAAGTATTTCTCTTGTCCCCTTTCCACAATGGGCCTCAGCATCCTTCTGGGTTTGGTTTGTCCTCATTCACTCAGGAACCCTTTACCTTTGCCACAGAAGAGTACTTCTTTTGAGGCCAGCCAATGCCATGTATTAAGAAATCTGTTAAAGCTCCTTCAGATTTGCTCATTTTCCCACTGATTAAAGGAAAAAACCAACAACTTCTACGTGGTTTTGTTTTGTTTTGTTTTTTTTCTGCAGGGGAAGGGAGAAGAGAAGGGGAAGATTTATGAGAGCTATTATGAACAGTCTTATTTTTCATCACTCTTGCTTTAGAAGGAACTTAGTTACAAAAGAACACATCTTTTTTTTTCTATTATTCCTTTGCTTTGCTGAAAACAAAATCATGCTGTCAGCCAGAGACCAGGAAATCAAAATGACTGAGCTATTTTTAGCATCATTAAGCAAAAAAAAAAAGGCAATTACATTTCTAAAATTCTATTACTGTTTTAATAATATGTTACTAAGAGGGTGTCACACATTAGAACTCTTTAAAATACCTTTGCCTTGACCATGCTCCTTTAATTATGGCATTGCCCTGGTACACATGCAGGCAGAGGAATTCTGTCATGGTATCTGCTCCTGCATTCCCAGCCATTTGGCTATTACGTCAAAGCAAAGCTAGAGCGTCACATGCGCACGGGGAGGGGAGGAATTGCCAAGCTGCCAGACAGAGCCCGTTTGGCTGGGTTATTTAATGTCAAGGAAGGGCAGTCAGGTTATAATCGGGCGTAATTAACACTGCCGTACCCTGAATCCTCTGTACATTCAATTCACATGACAGCCTCAAGGAAATGGAAAATTCTTTCCTGCTGTTGGAAAAGGCGAACATCTCCAGCTGATGCCCATAATGAGAAAATAACAGCTCCTGTGCAGACAAGGTTTCAGAAGCGAGATTTTGTCCACACAGCTCCTGCAGGGAAAGCTCACAGGCAGACTTCAGGCCTTCACCTACCTTTTTTTTAGTTTGGTTTGGTTTTTTTAAAGAAAAGTAATGCTTGGGGCTCAAGGGCTTTGTCAAGGCAAGGTCTAGGTGATTCAAAGGACTGGAAGCTATTTGCTGAGCTCAGCGGTAGCTGTGGCTGGCAGTTGGTCTGAAGAGGTGCGTAACAGGGAACACCTACATTTCAGAACGCACTTGTTAGTACTGGCAACAGAGGCCAATTACCTAATAGGCCAAGAGGTCCCATGTTCTCTCCTTCAATGTAAATATTTGAAATGAAGGGATTTTTTTTTTACTTATTACACAACATCCTTTTGATTGAAAAAAAAAAAATAACCCTACCTAGAAAAGTAACAGCAAGGAGATACATTTAGCCTCATTAGGATTTGCAGGCAGCAGCACCGCAGGAGTTCAGCTGCCACATTGACGGAGTGGTCCCTCTTCCTCCCACCCTTCCCTGCAGTTGCCATGCAAGTGCTTCGCAGCTGGCAGCCAGGGAGCCCCTGAATCTGGCAGCTTAATACTCCATGGTCTGATGAAGTCCTTCCAGAGCTTGGCCCGCACACAGCAGGATGTGTCTTGTCTCATATCCACCCTGAGGGGAAGCTCACCCTTTTAGCATGTACTCTGGTCTCCAGTACTGCAAGGCAATCTCTTTCTCCTGGACAAGTACTTTAAAATCTATTTAGGTAAAAAAATATTGCACTTTTCTAGGTGCCCTGCCTGGGTATCATTTACTGGTGAACATAAACCATTACCAAGCAAGCAAGGCTGTTTTTCAGGGCTACTGAAATGTATCCATTACCATTGTCTGAATGAGCAGCTACAGTGCAAGGTCCCATCCATGCTCTGAAAGTACCAGAAAAGCAACGGTGCTGAACTGATCTGAGCACCAGCAGCACTTGGCATTCTCCCCAGAGCTGTCTGAGCAAACAAGGCAGAGGGGAAAAAGCCTGTCCCTCCCTCTCTCCACCTGCCCAGTGACTCAGAACAACTAGAAATGGCAGCTTAACTCTCAGAACGCAGACCGATATATCCAGCAGTCAGCGTGAGGGCATCAGGAGTGCCAAGAAAGTAAGTATGCTTAGCCGTTTTGGGGGATGGGGGAAGGGATGGGGAAGCTTGTATCTCTATAGCAACCCCTGCCTGGCTGATCCTGCTAAATGATTAGGAACAAGGACTGCTGTAAAATTAGCTCTTCTAGGGGTCCCCGCACCAGGGGACGATACTTCTGAGACAAAAAAATAATTCCTAACTTCATTTCTCTCTACCTTCACCAAAAAACTTTTGTCATCTGAAACTTCCAGGGAAGAAAAAAACCCACATTCCTAGTGTGATAACTTGGGTGGCCTGACTGAGGGCAAGTGATAAATTCTGGTTGAAGCGATAAAGTTCCAGGTACAAAAAATCTGCATGTCATGCCCTGCTTTTAAAGAAATACAGAATTTAACATGGCTGATAATGGCTCTGACATGGACTTCCCAGTCTGGAGCAAGAGTCAGTTGCTTATTCAGGTAGAACTACTTTGAGAGAGTGGATTTGCTGTAACCAAAGAGCCAGATTTCTCTGAATCTCTTGGTAAATGGCATCCACATTAGTAAAAAATTACCAAGAAGCTGTGTAGGGGAACCATGGTGCAGGGAAGAAGACATACAGATACTCTCAGGACTGCAAAAAGCTTGGAAGAGAAACCTGACAGAATTAATAGCTGGGGGCAGGAGAGGGAGGAGTGGCTGAGAGAGCTGCAGGGCCAGTCATAGCTAAAGCCGGCTGCAGCAGGGAAAAATGACTTTTAAGGGAAGGATGATCACAACTTATCTGCTTGTTTTCACTCATACACGAAACACCTAAATAGTTAGAGCAGGAGAAGAGGTATTTAAGCCAGAGAGGAGTTAAAGGAATTGCTACTAGCCCCAGGGGAACAGCTGAAATCCTGTAAGAGGCACAGAACAAGCTCTGTACCCCAAGACCATGCAAAGACAACCCTGTTACTGTAGCACACACTCTGCTCAGACTAGGAGGACTTTAAAGACTACAGGGCACACGGAGCTATGACCCTAATTTAACCATCTGAGGAGTGTACGCACCCACAGGGAGCTCAGTTCCGCTTCTGCACAAAGGCGCCCATTTCCAGATCTCTGCTGAGCCAACAGACTGCTTTTAGCCTGTACTGGTATTTGACAAACAAGCAGCCTCTGGTTTCCAGCACGCACACGGCCAATAGCCCAGAACACAATAGTTGGTTTCCCATTACAGCAGGGAAGGCTTTAACTTATTCACAAGAACAGGAGAGCGAGTCAAATAGCTTAGTAGGTTTTAGAAAGGATTGGATGCTTGCATGGTGAAACAACATCCACAGCCGTATTAGCTAGGATAAGGGTTACAAGCTCAGCGATCCTCACGCTACGGGACAAAATGATCAGTGGCCGGGATCACAGGCAGACAAAAGCGATAGCCGTTCCCTGAAGCTCCTTGCAGCAAGGTCACGTGGCCATAAGCAGACACTGTCAGAAACCAGATAACCCATTGTGCAGGGCTAGCTGGGCTAATCCTGCATGTCCCCAGAAAGCTCCAGAGAGGCTAGGCACAGAATGAACCAGAGAGAAATCTTTGTTGTACAAAAAATAAAAACCCAAACGAAAAGCTTTATTGGTATGCATCCTACAGAAATGGTTGCAAGAAGGGGCCTTGGATTAATCTGACAAAGAAAACATGGAACAGCTGTGCTCCCTCTAGGAAGGCGCCAGCCATGAGCAGGTTCCTTACAAAACAGGGCAGCATGGAAATATACTGAAGGAATGGAGGAGGGGAGCAGACACATGGGATTGGTGCTCTGTTCTTCAACACTGATGCATGGGGCAATTTCAAATAGCCTAGTAAGAACAACCACAAAGTCTTTCTCCACACTTGAAACGACACTTGCTTTTTACTGAGCTAGTCTCTTCCATGTGTAAGTGCTTGCCCACCAGGCTTTGTATAGAAAGCTGAGGCGACTACTTGCAGAGCTTCTGCAAAGGCAAGAGACAGTAATCCTCATCTGCTCTAGCTTATCGTTGGTTCTGATCAGGTTTCAGTCGTCATTCAGTCTGTTACTTCTCCAGCCCCAAGTATATTACTGAATCTGTACTGCTTTAGAAAAACATAATCAACCGGTTTTCAATAATAGTAAAGTCCAGCGATGCTCCAAGACCCTCTTGCCAACCTGGCAGGAGGTATAGCCATGTACAGATAGGATCACCTCTTCTTGAAGCCATATTTTTTCCTTTCGTAGAAAAGATCTGTCTTGGAACTGCCCAGGTTGACGATCTTAGGGCAACCATCTCTCTGTAAGAAGAGAAGATGTAGGTTAGGAGATGGGCAAACACAGAACAATGTCATCATTCGCACAGTTCTAGTAGGTTCTCGGTTCCCACGCTCCTCACCCTGTCCTCAACACATATTTCTAACACCTGGGCAGATAAACTGCCCTCCAGTGCTGGTTACCAGTAAGACAGTGGAACAGAGAAGAGTATGGATGCCTTTTCAGGATTACTCTAGGACTTTCTTTCAGGGCTGAGACAGAAAACAGCTCATATAACATCAGCAGTTTAATGAAAAGGATGCTCAGTGCCTCAAGACTAATTTCTTTCTAAATTAGGATACACAGGATTTATAGGGCCCAGAGGAATAACCTTTCCCCTCCTTAGTCAAAAAGAATCTTGCTGCTTTAGATGTCACCAAGCCATTCTTGTGTATAGGAGCCCCTCTCAGCTGTGACAGCAGAACTGAATCTCAGATTTCCTGGATCAATTACTGCAGAGGCTGTATGGTCATCTTGGAAGAGGACAGCTGCCCACAGCAGCTACACAGATAAGTTTTCGTACCTGAATTCCAGTAGATTGTGAGAAAAAATGCCACAAGAAAAGCAAGGGGAGTGGAGGAGACCCACCTCAGAGGTGTGGTTGAGAAAACAAATCAGGGATGCACCTCTTGGTATACTAGGGACCATTTGTCCACGGGCCACCTGAGCCCAGCATCTGCATAATTCTTAAAAGCAAAATGTTGTGGCTGGACACAGCAGCTGTGAGGGGCCCAGCGGGGAGAGGAACATGTATCCTTGGCTGATGTGTAAGCCTGAGCGCATTAGATTTAGAAAGCCTCTGGGCAGATGTCAAATGCTATAGAATCTGCACCCAAGCTGTCCAGCTCCTGTGCCAGAGATATAATCTGCTGGGGAAGGTCTGCATGGTAGAAATAACAGGAGAGGTGATGAATAGAAATCATCCTTCCCCCATACACCTGCCACAACCCATTTCTAGCTACTGTCTCCTTATTTGATTTTGAACCTCAATAGTAGGACTCTTCCAAGCCTTGTCTCCCATGATCCAGGGAGTCTGTGATAATCTTGACAGCGTTATTGCAGGGCTCTGTTCATTCTTCCACCTCCTCCTAAGGAGGCAGCACATGAGCATGCTCCTGTCCCCAAGAAAAGATTACTTTTTGCAACTCACAGGTGTACTGGATGACAAGGTGGGATTCTGGCCCTTACCCGCAGACTGAAGCAGTTCTTCACTCCTCCCTCCACCAGAACCAACGACCTGAGAGTAACCAGGCCCTTTGCCTGGTGCCCAGTAGCACTCCACCTCCTCCCTTCATTTTAGTATTTGCTTTCTTGCTTCACTATCTTTTTCAGTCTTCCTCTGAGAATGATGGAAGTGCTTGGACTGTAAAAGCTTCAAGTAGAGAGCTCTTTCCCTGTTTTCCTTATTCACATCAGCACCAGATACCATAACTGTGACAGGCAGCAGCACACTTAATTTTTCCCCTTCTGGGCACCCTACACTTGTGCCAACACTTTTCAATCCTGCGACTCGATCGTGTCTGTTTCAGATCTGCAGCAATACCTAACATTTGAGTTTGCTGCTACAGATCAACTGTCTTTGCTCACAGCAACCTTCACCCAGGTGTCAAAATACCCCAGACCTGTAATTCTCCTCTAGCTCTGTTTTCCACAGTCCTCCCTTGAAGAGCAGCTGGCTATTTCACACCTGAACCAGACATGATAAGCTAAAAGTGAGCTTAGGTTATGAAAAACACTTGTTGGAAATCCATATGAATTGATAAAAATAAAACCAAGCCTATTTTACTCATGACTTATGAAGCCAGGTGTCTTTGTTCCAAAGGTAAGTTCCAAAGGTAAGAAGAAAACTACTAGTTCTCACTGCATTTCTAAAGTAGGAGGCAGCACCACCATCCCAGCACTTATAGCCATATTTAGGTATGGAAAAAGATTATGTTCCTGTTAGATCTAATGACTAAATTCAAATGAAGACCTGCCCCTGTCCTGGATTTAGCTGAAGGCCTCTAGAGAATACATAGGCACTGCAGAGAATTAAACCAGCAACTTAGTCAGCTGAGGACACTCCTGTAAATCAATCTGAACCATTCTCTCAGCAGATCTGTCATTAGGGTGTGTATGAAATGACATTTGCAAAGCACCAAAACCCAAGCAACCTTAACACACTTTAACAGCTATCAGGCCCATATTTTGGGAATATTGGAACTGCAAACGTCATGTTCTTGCTCTTCCCTGAGGTCTTTCTAACACTTCATTGCAGTTCTTCATGTCCTGCACTCCTTGTGTTGAATTATTAACAAAAGCCTTAGAAGAGGTGAACAGCTGCCTCATTTCACCTGTGCAGTGCCTGTCTTTCAGCACAAGATTATAAAAAGATTATAGCAATGACTTTAGACATAAGGGAACATTACATCAAAAAGTGTTAGCAGAGAGATGTCTACAGTACAGACCATTATAAAAAAAATTAAGAAAATATAAATTGTATGCCACTGAAATTATACAAGAGGCATTAAACTTGTAAAACACAATTACTAGTGCAGTCACTGGACACTTGAGACTAACTTCATGTTGCTATCCAAAGGAAAACAAAGGTTTTGATTCCAGTACCATATGTCCTCTTGGTCAGTGGATGATAATGGACTTGCAGTGAGAAGCTGCTTTTGCCACTGCCTGTGCAGCGTCTGGAATATTTCTGACCCTAGTGAAACCTAGGCTGGAGATGTAAGGTAACAACCTGAAGTGGTAACAAGCAGTGTGTGGAGGAAACAACTGTGAGTGTGCAAAATAATCAGAGATCCTTAGGGACAAAGAGAGCTATGATACCTCAAAATGCTACAATATCTCAAAATGCTTTGCAAACATGGGGAACTATCAACACGGGAAGAAAGGTATGAGGTACTGCAAATCGGTGCCAAGCATCCCATGTCCCAGCGCTAATTTCAGCAGCTCTAAGCCCCTTAAAGGTAAGCATGGCTACTAAGTAAAATTGGGACGTACATCTTTTTCCTGGATGGTGCACTCCTTGCAGTAGTAGGCGTCGGACACTCCTGGGCCCCCGCAGATCACACAGCGCCCTTGGTACGAGCCGTAGTTACACTCGTCACAGATGCGCACCAGGGTGCAGGGCCGCACGTAGGAGTCACAGATCACACACTTGCCATCACCTGCAAGCACAGCAGAGCCCTTGGTTACAGAACGTCCTTTGCTCCATCCCCACATCAAAGAGAAAAAGCTTCCTAGTGAAAGAACTTGCCTGTACACTCAAAGATAATACAAATGAACTGCAGAAATTTATCTTGCACAGGGCACAACCTTGTATTTGCACTAAGACTTGAGAGGAACGAGGGCCAGTAGCCTGCCACATTTGAGGCTTTTTTAAATTTATTCATACATTCACAATCAGAGAAGAAACCCAAAGTTACTTCTTTGTGATTAGCCAACACTTGCTTAGATCGTGCTACTACTTTTCCTGAATTTTTCACTTGCGAAAAAAATGCTGTACCGGCAGGACTGCTATTCTTATGTACACAGAAGCAGCAGCATAAACTACTCCCACAGTGCCACATCAACAAAAGTATGGAGTTATTGTCCTCAAAGAGATAAGAGACTGTACTCATGCTCCCTTTAATCCTACATCCATGAGAAGGCCAAAGAAAGGGCAACCTGGCATAAACAGCCATTTCACAAAGTTACTCTTGCTCTCTCACAAGGAACTGGGTGAAATTCAAGTACTCAGATCATACAGGCAAGGAGCCATCACATGCCACTGCCAGTTTCTGCTGTGCTGGGTCTTATCCAAAACACTGACCTAGGGATGAAAGGCTTCATATCCTATTACCAGTTCCCAAGGTATCTAATCCTGACTCTCGCAAACAGCTCACCTAACCTGCTCTTAAGTCTCCAGCGTGACAGCCCTCAGCTATTACCAATGGGAATCTGTTTCACTGCCAGGTACTCTTGAAAATGATCTTTTGCTTCAGACCATCCTTCTCCCACTTTACTTATTTTCATACTATTTTTGAGTCACAAGCTACTGACCTTATTTCTTTTGTTCCCCTGCAAGGATCTAACGACAGTTCTTTCTTCCCTTTTACAGCTGAACACTGGCATTTGATTCTGTGGGGTTTTTTTTCCCTGCTCTGACTCTAGGGGCTCTCTCTCCATTTTTTCTTTTACAGACAGAAGGAAGAACCTTTCTCGAGGTATGATGAAGACATTTTTCCCCCATGCTTTGAAATGATTAGGCTGATATTTTTGCATTACAGATTACAAGGACCCATTCAAGTAGTCACCACAGCCTCAGACGCTGGAAATGCTGGCAGTACGTACCCCAGAACTGCATTTGTGTTTTGAGCTCATATCTTTTTAAGTATTCCTTGAGTTTCACTTGCAACACACAGGCATTGTTCCCACCTCAAAGAATGACATCAAGTTCGTGGTTAAAGCAAAAACAGAATCCAACCTCTGGATCCAAACTGCATATTCTAACCACGACACCATGCTCTCAAGCAACTACATGTTGAAGCTATACTTACATTTTTCACAAAGTCTTCCAATTGCTGTTAAAAAAAAAAAGAAAAAGAAGAAAAAAATTATTTGAGGCAGAAGCAGGAGAAAAATCTAAGTAACTCCAAAGCTTGAATGTCAAATAATTATCTTCTGCAGTGATCAGGTAAACCACAGAAACAGTTTGAGCATAAATACAAACATATTTACAATAAGCAATATATATCCTCCTAGAGACATTTACCAAGATCAAAGTTTCAATGCACTGTGGACACACAATGACACCCATTGGCAGTACGAAAACCTACATTCACTATTCCATTTCAAACACAGCCAATGTGCCTGACTGAAGGAAATCCTGTACAGCAGTCTTGGTATAGCTTTTACACTGGTTTAAATGAGAGAAAAAAAAATAGAATCAAGTGTTTACTTAAGGCAGCCAAAACAGCCTTGTTCACTTCAGAACATGAAAGTAGTTAAATGTATCTTAGCAGTTTTGTCACTTGTCTAGGAAACTCACAGCCATGGTGTTAGGAGCTTGGATAAATGCCATAAATATCAAGTTCCAAAGACCAGATGTCCACATTCACAAAGACTAAACAGTGATTCAGTTGAGGTTTGAGAGACAGGGATTTGTCAGATTAATTTTCAACATAGATAGATTAGGTTAGAAGGACTGCATGTTCTAAAAGGAGGTTTCCTCTGGACAGTGCAGCCGAATATTTTGTGTTTACAGATCTCGCAGAAAGCTGCTTCTTAAATGTGCTTCTCCAAGCAACGACAAAAAACCTGGAAGGGATGCCTCAACTTCTAACCTTGTTTAAGAGTTCTTTAAGACTCAACTGGGCAAATTCTGACCGAGATGCGACATGGATAAATCTCCTTCCCTGTATTTCAGATATAGCCTGGAAGATAACTTATCTCGCAGCCAGAAGGATGCTCCAAATGCTGTGGACCCATAACGCACGGCAGGGCAGCGAAATAAAAGGAAAATAAAAGAAGGAAGGAGGG